CCGAGGGCGAGGTGATTATTGGGTATTCCCCGATAATCACCGAGCCTGAGGTGAATATAAATTGTTTTAGTATTTTTACACAAGTCTTTTGTGTTATTTGGGACTGAATTTATTTTAATTTCGCTTATTTCTTTATCAGTAAACTTCCACAAAACGGCTAGCCGCCATTTTGAAAATTTCAGTTTTGTTATATTTTTTATTTTATTTAATGATTTGCCCATGTGATATACCATTATGTTACATAAAAAGTAGATAAAATAAAGTAGATACATTTGGGCTAGGAGTCTATAGAAACCTTGAACAGGCTTTTGGATTTAGACCCCTATTTTAAAGTCTTGGTGCTAATATATATAGTTAAATTGTCATCGGTTCTAAGTATTTACAAAAAGTGAGGTTCACCTGTAGGTGAATATAATAGCTTAATACGTCAAATTTGACCAATCTGGTTGTAGGATTTGTTATGTTCACTTGTGCAAAAATACTAATGTTAAATATCACCGAGGCTAATGACCGAGGTTAATATGCGGCACATGCGCCATGCCACAGCCCACATGTGATACGGGCTATGCGGCACCATGTACCAAGGTCGATCACTCATACATAAGTCAGTGACTTCAGTCCATAAAATCCTGTCCGTGTGAGTAAAAATTAACTCTATAATTTATTTACAAAATCTTTATAATTTCCAGTCTGTCTAATTTCTAAAGGGAGCTCATTATACACTTTAGCGGTCATGAAGTGAAAACTTCTACGTGCATATTCAGTTTTAATCTTAGGTAAGATGGCCAAATAACTACGGTTTCGAGTTACTCTACCATGTTCATTTCGAATAAAATGACCACTCAATGGATCACAGATATCGCCACCCATAATCTTCCTTACCAACACACAAGCTCGCTTCTTCTTTAGCTCCACAGCTGATGGAAAATTTGGATCTGACAGGAACACTGCCACAACAAAGATTATTTTCAATGCTCGCTTGTGGAAGGAGGCTAATCGATCTTGCTGCGTTGTAGTTAGGTTTAAGTTTAAGACGCCACATTGTGCAACAATCTAAGCCTTGATGATGCTCGCTTAAAAGTGGCATCAAAATGCGAGTTGAGATTCAGTGTCGAATTGATTTCAACACCAAGATATTTGTACACTGACACTTGCCTAAGAGTGGATTATTTGTAGTTCACCGACAATGGCTCATTTAATTATGCGTTTTGTGGTTCCAAACAACTAAACAAGAGCGTTTCAGTTTTACCTTCTTTTAAATTTATAATAAATTCATTTTCATCCATCCAATCAGCGATACTTTCCATATCATTCCTCATATCATTCGACAGTTTCCAGCTAATTGCTTTGATATCATCTGCAGCAACATACAGAACTACGTCATCAGTATACATAATTATACTGGATTCCTTAATGACATCATCTATGTCGTTGAAAGCTATCACGAATAGTAGCGGGCCCAGTATTGAAGCCTGTGGCACGCCAATAAAGGAATAGGATTCCTGGGATAAATTGCCATTGTAAGCAACACGCACCATTCGCTGAAATAAGTAATAAGGTCAACTGAATATCATACAAGGGACCCCCTTTGGTTGGAAGGCATAGGAGATTGCTACAATGCATTGTAGCAGAGTTGCATTGCTACTTACAAAAGACAGAATTTCCTCCTATTTATGTGTTAAAATGGCTTTCAATACCCCAAGAGTTGCTAAAATAACTTATACAGTAATTACTGAAATATAAGCTCGTCATGTATTTTCTTGCAAAGCACAAAACAACCACAAGCAGTCTATATATTGTTGTTGGTGAGCGTAACTGGGACTGTGCATTCGGTTATTCTGGGTAATTGGCACGTAGTGCACACCTTGGAAAATACTCCCAAAATCTAAAATCCTAGCTAAGACCCTTCTTCAGGGCAACGGTATTGCAAACTTACAAGACAGTATAAAATCTTGGGAAAGGGTTCAATGGACAATGACATGTATGGTCCCAACATATATATGTAAGTTTATCCAGTATAGACTAAAGGGTACTTTGGGTTGATAACACTAATTTATTTTAACGTATTTCAATTGTATATTTACAAAAAAATAATTGTACGAGAAAGTCAGAATAATTTTGGTAAGTTTTTAAGACGTTTAATGTCTAAAATATCACTGGACTCTTCAGAATGACGCGCAGGTGAAGGGAAGGGTGGTTTGCATGGTTCAATGGAAGTTTCAGGTGAATTTTCTTTTTGGTGCCGGGTGCTTGCTTGTCCATCACCTTCACCAGTGAAAGAAACATGTCCCTCAACAAGATTATACTTGGTCAGGTAATTTTTCGTACAAAATGATAAATTATTCCACGTGAAATCGACTTCGCGTAAGTTTCGTCTTGAAAGTGACCTGCGTTCGTTGTCACTTGGTAAACTACCAAAACGAACAGTTCGAGTGAAAGATCTTTTGACAGCAGCAGTAGACGGACGGAGTTCACTTTTGAATTGTTTTAGTTCTTCATCAGAAAGATATTTCAAAGCCACTTCATCAATATAAGTCACTTCATCAAAGGTATCGTCAACTGACATTGACATGTAGTTCAGTCTCGGATGTTCTGGGATAAAGCTGGTAGATAATGATCTCCGGTGCGTGGAAAACACACTCGATGACTCTGTCTCCAACCTACAAAAAAACGAATAAAATTGTTTTACCATGCACAGGATGCTAACTTTGTGCTTTGATCGCAATAAGTTCAGGATTAACTTACGCATCTTCATGAACTTCTAAACCATATGGGCAAAATAGAGAGGTTCGCATTTGACTTCCACTACCGCTACTATCACCATTACAATAACCAATCAGATGCGTTTGATATATCCGATTAACCAATCAGATGCGTTCGACATATCCGTTTAACCAATCAGATGCGTACTAAGCCATTGAGAGGTAGTGGTATAGTCAAATCTGAAATTCTCTCATATATGCATGTTGTATACGAACCTTCTCTCTCTGTGCCTGGCCCTACATTGTTTTATAATGGTTACGTCATAACGTGGTTCAATCTCATTTCAGTAATGTGGTGTGCAAGCGTCAGAACGACAGGATCATGGGTAAGTTATATTAGGCAATTTAGTAAAATGAAAAACGACTTGCACTACAGTAAATATCAGGATTTGGGGCATCTTACTCGATATCACTAATTGTTGAAGGGATCCACAAGGATGGAAATCTCGAGTGGAATTGATGATTCCCTTTATTACGTTTTCGTAGCGCTTTGCATTGTGGTTATAAAGATAGCGGCCTCGAATGAAAATATTGAATGTTTTCGTGAATATTTTGCTGTTGGCTATCGCGCACCTGACCCTAGCTTTTTTAAAAAGTTCTTGCACGGGTCAGGACAAAAAATAAGCCATCTTGAATGTCAGTGATACCACTATAACCACAATGCAAAGCGCTACGAAAACGTAATAAGGGGAATCGTCAATTCTTGTACATCTATTAGACGCAACCAGGAGCAGTTGTGAAAAATGAAACTCTCGGCCCTCTGGCAGGAATCAAACCTGCAGCCCTGCAATTCCGGTGCAGCGCTGAGCGCCCTAGCCTACGGTGTAGACCCCAGCAGAAACACGTTTCGTGAGGGGTCTACGAATAAACGAACAAAAGCTTGCCCGGCCTACGTCATATCCGTTTTACGTTTTGGGTAAATTAACTTCAATTTATTCAAATTTCTGAAGCAGTGAAGCGTGCGTAAATGTAAATTTTCATTTGGCGCTTATTAAAATGTTCCATGGCGGGCTTTGTGCAATAAATGTAGCCGACATAAAAGCTTTATCGCAAGTCGGCTCGAATCCCAGTTTCCTCACGACATTTCGCTGTACTTTAAGTGGTACACCAATAGCGTTTAATGCTGTTTCGTGCACGTTAGTTATAGTATTGTCTAGGCTCTAGCTCACATATTAAACCGTTAAAGGAAGGTCGTCTAACTCCTTACGTACAGTCTCCTTGCTGTCCACGAAATTAATATCGCTTTTATTCGACGGGGATATTGAAGTAAAGAACACATTTGTATTGCACAAAGCCCGCCATGGAACATTTTAATAAGCTCCAAATGAAAATTTACATTTACGCACGCTTCACTGCTTCGGAAATTTGAATAAATTGAAGTTAATTTACCCAAAACGTAAAACGGATATGACGTAGGCCGGGCAAGCTTTTCTTCGTGTATTCGTAGACCCCTCACGAAACGTGTTTCTGCTGGGGTCTACACCGTAGGCTATGAGCGCCCCAACCAACTGAGCTACAGAGAGTGTATGGGTAAATATCCGGATTTCGGGCATCTCACTCGATATATAACTCATTGGTGAAGGGATTTGCAGATGGAAATTTCCATCTACTGTACATATCCCTTTTGCACCACAGTTCTACTGAAGCCTCTAGAACTCAGGGTACAGTACAGTACAGTACAGTACAGTACAGTAGGTTTACAAAGGACAAACCTTCTTGATGATTGTTGGCATCCATCTTGCTCGGAATGTTTAATTTTTTCCAGCTGTTTTAACGTGGCTTTCACGACAACCTCTCTGGTAGGAACTTGAGCAGACTGTGACGTATGGTGTAGCTCTTCTGTCGAATCTTCCTGCTTAGTACTCACTTGTTCAGATAATAAATCCTTTACTTGACACTAAACAACATTAACTATTAACACTAAACAACATTATAAACTATTGAGTTTTTGACAATGTCGAGAAATGTATGCACATAGCACAGCGTTGTTTTTCATTGAATCACAGGCAAATGGGAACGTACAATACAATTATTAAGGGCATTTTATAAAAGATTTCAAAACATTGGCATTTTTGGCATTTACAGCCGATAACTAATTTGTAGAAGGGTTTTGTAGATGGAAATTGCGAGTGTGAATTTCATACATTTATGATACCTAACCAGGAGCAGTTGCGA